GGCGGGCGCGCTGGCGGGGCGGGGGCCACGCTCGCTCGTGCTCCGCCGACAGGAGAACCAGGACTTCGGCTTCACGCTCAGACACTTCATTGTGTATCCGCCAGAATCCTACACGGTAAGTGACTCCCCATGTAGCCAATTGTATGTTTTGTTACTTAAATGAGTTCACGGTGCCAAACATGAGGAGGTTGCCGCTTTAAAACCTTAACCTTCCTCCCTCCCGTGTCCGGGTGGACACCGATGGCTAGCTTGGTTTCCAATAACTTCGAGATCGAAAGTGAATCGGAGTAAAATGTCCTCACGCTTTTTCCCCCTCCCTTTCGTATGGTGGACAATAAAGTGGCAGTCGGTGGTCCTTCATCCTCTCTACTGTCTGCTCAATACGCCGTGTGCCAGCTTGAGGGCCGCGCTGTAGTAAAGTCGCGCGAGTTATATGTTTCTGCCGGTCGGTCCATAGAGGCCGCCGTCGTTGCTAGCCGGGCTCTAACGCTCGACCCCGCAGCGCCCTCTGTGTGCAGTGCGCGTTTGTGTGGGCAAGTCCACCTTAGTGTGCTTTGCAAGCGCGAATCTTCTCTCAAATTTTCAAAACATACATTTAGTAAATTTCTAAAAAAGAAAATAAACGCGCTCTTTGAAAATCTTGTAGAATTCAACAGTGAGCACCCAGGAAACGGTTCAATTATTTCAAGGGTTTTTGAGGATAAAGAAACCAATTCTTAAATTCAAAGAAATGTTCATTCACTCCAGTTAAAAAGTCCTGTAGTGTAGGACAATTCCCTCCCACTAAGTTTCCTTACCCTAAATTTAAGTTGAAATTTCCTTGAATCAACAGAACCATTTTGTGGCGAAGATGTTCCATGACGTTTTATTGAAATGTTTCGGTTTTTTTTTGTTTATTTTTTTCGTTTTGTATGTCTAATTTTTTTTCCGACTCGACAGATACTCGGCGCGGACCGGCGGCTCCACAATGTGGCCCTGGATGAGCCCATGGACACCATCTTTGTCCGGCTGGTCAGAGACAACAGCCCGGCGCACCTAGCCGGACTCTGCCAAGGTGAGTGGGCGGGGCGGTTTATTTGAATTCAATTGAAAGGGGCCGCCGCACCGGGCAGGCCGCCTCGCTCCGCGGCGTAGCGACAGAGACAGACAGAGACAACGGCAGAGACAGACAGAGACAGAGAGATCTGGCTGGAGAAAAGGGGAAACGAGGGAGGGGGGGGGGGCGGGTTTGGCAGAGACAGTTAGTTCCTGGGGGCCAGCAGCGGGTCCGGCTAGCGCGGGCTAGCGCCATCACCACGGGCCGCGGGACAGCCGGCGGCGCCACCTTCCGGTGCGCGGGGATGGGACTGCTGGCGCAGCGACGCGTGCACTGGCCGCGCTCCAGTCGGAGCAGGTCAGGTGCAGGGCAGGGCAGGGCATGCTCGCAATTGAATGGGAAAACGCCGCCGCGGACCGGCCGACCGACAGAGGTTCCTCTCCCGTACTCAAATAGGACAGTGGGTCTGTCTCCCCTCCCCTCCCTCCATCCTCCCCTTCCCTTTTTGCCTCATTCTCTCCTCTTTTTTCTCCCCTTGCACGGCTGCTAAAGGCTTTTCTGTGTCTTCTCCCCCCCTCCCTCCCCCGCCACCCAATTCTTTCTCTTTCCCTTTCTCACTCCCCCTGACTGCTCATCAATCTGCTCAGGACAGTGGCCCCTTTGTTTTACATACGAGCGCCGCGAACCGTAACGGATTTTTTATTTTTCTGCTCCTCCTCCTTCTCTGTCTCTCTCGGGAGAAAAGAAGAGGAGGAAGGATGGGAGATCACTTGAGAATCTCGAGTGTGTATGTGACACGTGTCACGTCAAGTAAATTATCTGTATGATCCCTTTCAGGGTTCGTTTCCTCTTGTAATATTTTCAACCCATTCGTTGGTTCCGGGGGGTCTCTTTATATATTCATTTTTGATTTGTGACGTGCGGTGCCCTCTGAACTTTTTTGTTGTCGTTGTTGTGGCCGCGTTTGAGTGGAGCGACAAAACTCTCCACGGTTTGGGGGCGGGGCTATGAATGAAATTGCGGGCGCAGGTGACGCGGCCTGGCGTGGCGGGTAAAAGTTGGCGCGTGGGATTCAAATGCGCGCGTGGGCTCGCGCGCTTCGCGCGTCTCTTGTTGCGAGGCGCCACCTATTGATTACTTGATTAGTATTATTTTTATAACGTAGGGCCCCGTGCGTTAACATTGTGCACGGGGTAGCTGAGCGAAGTGCATTAACTTTACAGAAGACATAAAAAATATAGAACAAAACTATAC